ATGGAATTTCACCTTGGAGAGTGTATGCATTTGCACAGATGACAGTTGAGACCTTTCTGCTGGGATTTTGCATCTGGGGTCCACCTAGAGAATGTTTTCTTATGTCCTTATGGCCTTTATATTTATTTAATTAACTAATGATGTATGTGAATTCCAGAGCAGTTTTGCTAAGTGAATATGAAACAGGCATCTGGATGGAGGGAAAAATAGTCCTGCCACCTTGCTCCTCGCCAGTGAGGCACTGACACCAGAAATCTAAATGATGCTTCTACAGGTGTTATTTAGAAAACAGGACCGTGATGTTACAAAGATAACCAAGACAGTTTCCTAAATTATATTTTTATGTTCTGGGATGGAAAACATTATCATTTTGAATAAAGAAACATTTCCTTCTTTACAAGTTGTTCAAAGAATCCTACGCAAGGTCTTAAACTTCAGCTTTTCCACATATTATCAACCAGGAAGATTTTTCTGATGGAAAAGATTAGTAAAAGAGATCAGAAAATGTGCTTTATATAGGCATAATTCCCCAACCGAAAAGGCATGGGCTACAAATTATCCAAATAAAGTGGCCTCGACTCTTAAATTATCCTTTCAACTTTGAGAATTTAGGGGTGAACACATTCACTGTGCAACACTGAATGTTCACGTTGTAGATCCAGAATTTAAGAAAAGCCGTTTTGTCAATGATGTGCTGTCCAGAGGTGGTGCAAATTAATTAATATTGAGGAAAGGACACCGGGTGTCTATAACCTTAAACAGTTGACCTGGTTGGACCAAAATGAGTGATAATTCAGCTCTACATTCCAATTAAGGTGGTGAACCAGTTAACTCAGTAAATAAATTAAGTAGAACTAAATTAAAAAAAATAAATTGGATGGTTCAAGTAGGTCAAAATCAAAGAACACTAGAAAGGAAGAGGGATGTAGCCCCCCAAATGGAATTTCTTGTGATGCCATTTGCAAAGAGGTGAAGGAAGAGATCACAAACTTTTTTTTGGTAATCATTTGAGATGAATGCGTAACTTTTGGGATGTGTAAAGTAGGAAAGAAAGTGGAGAAAAAGACAGCTAAAAATCTGGAGGTTCACAACAAATATATATATATTTTAAAGAAACCTGCATGTGTTTTGAATATTAGAGTGCTTTCCTTTCTCTTCTTCTAATTATGCTTTTTTTTTTCAGGTGGCAGAAGTAATTAGGTCTTTTGTTTTTATTTTTTAAATGGAGGTACTGGGGATTGAACCCAGGACCTCATGCATGCTAAGCAGGCTCTCTACCTTCCCCCGTTATGCCTTTTTAAGTAGCTGATGGTTTTATCAGCATTCTTAACCTGAGTCAGATGATCTGGCCCCTGGTGATTTTTCTAGTGCCTCTGATGCCTGTTTCAACTTGTTT